TCAAACAGAAGAAGGTGACGCTTTCTGTAATTTATCCTTTCTTTCCCGGTTCCCAGAACAGCGTCGTTACCCTTTTCCCAAATTTCACTGCATTAAAATCATGTCACGCTGCGTTAGGAGCTAGTTTGCAGAAGGCTTGGAGGGCGCAGGGGAGGGAGACCCGCAGGCCCCCAGCCCCACTGGGCTGGGAAGTAGGTTATTCTGGTTTCCACTCTGTGTGTGCCAGCCTGAAGCACAGAGCAGGGAATTGTCCGGGCCATTCAGGAAATCTGGGGCACAGCCAAGAATAACACCCGTATCTTCTAATCCCTGATTTGTGTCGCTGCAATTGCTTCTAATATTTTCCATTGTTGTGCTTTGGGTCTCACTGAACCGAGGGCTGAGCACTGCTGGCAAAGAGGGCATTGTGGAGCCAGGCTGAGCTTTACTGGGGCCCTGTCTAAAGCCTGGGTTTTAGCTGATTAAGGTGAGGGATTCGGGGAAGACCAAACCACCTTACTATGCAATTTGGCCACACAGTCAATTCTGTCTAATGGTGTTGAGGCCTGAAGGAATGGAAGAAAACAGAAGACGGTCCTTCTGGCAAGACCAGAGCTGGCAAAATCTTCAGGCTGCAGCCCTAGCAAACCCTCGTGCCCAGCTGGAGATGGGAGGTGGCGATGAAACGCTCGCTGCCAGGAGCGCCTTCTGCCTTGCCCGGGGAAGGCTTTGCGGTCACGGCGTCGCACGGCGTGGCTTGGCCGAGCAGGATGCTCCTGAAAGAGGTTCCCAAGTGCCAGTATTATGCACCAGCGGGCCAGCACGGCATTGACACGGGATCACCATGGTCCCCAAGGATACGTGGCTATGAAAAGTGACTAAAATGTTAGATGAGAAGATAACTGGCTTTCCGAAACAACATTTCATCACTGTTTCATTAGTTTGGGTAGATGAGTATTTGGACTTCAGTGCTACCTTTGTATTATTACATAATCTTTTTCTGGAGGGGGGGATTTCAAAAATCATCAGGTCCTTAAAAAAGCCAACACTGAGGCTTAAGTATTTTAGCTCTTGTGCATCAAAGGTGCAAAGTTTGGGGAGTTTAGATATCAGCGAGAATGAGACTTGGCACGAGCTGAAGTTATCGCCCAGGCTGGCGAGCCGGAGCTGGGCCAGCTGGGAGGGAGCTCCTGCGCCTGACGGCCATGCCTCGAGCCAGGGCGCTTGGCCAGTTGTAGTGTGGAAGTGGTAGAGCAAACATCCCTGAAGTAGGTGCGCAGCTTTGTCCAGTAAGAGTGTGTGCTTTGATAGCAAACATGCAAATCTGTAGAATGTCATATTCACCGAAACCTTCCCCAAACCCTCTTAATCACCGCAGACTGGGGAGAAAGCGTTGTGTAAGACAGAATCAAGATGTAGCACAGAGGAGAAATTAGGAAGTCAATTGTGTTTCTGTAGGAAAAAACAGAGCCAATACTTGATATATGGAGGATTCAATGGTAGGAGGAGAATAGTGGGAAACTTAGTATGTGGTTATTAGATTTCCATGTAGCGTAGGTGGTAACTGATGGCGTTCTGATAAGGGTCGTGTAAATACCTGACAATACGGCGCCCAGGGTTTGACCCAGTGATTTGACTTTCACTGAGCCCCAAAACAAAGTGCCGCTTTGTCTCTCTCCAAACTATCGTCAGGAGGCAGAGGATGTCAGGCAGCTTCCCGCGAGCTGTTGATGCGCTTTGGGCAGCTGATGAAACCTTGCAGCGCTTAGGAGTTTTGGGGACATGAATGTGCACTGCACTAACTGCATCGCCTTTGCAGCTTAGCGGAGAGGAGGCTGGAGGTGAGGGTGGGGAGAGAAAAAGGACCTGCCTTTGCTGCCCAGGTCATCTCCTTGGCTTACAGGGGATGCTCGTACCACCAGACCGTGACTCCCAGTTGTGCAACTGCTAGCAGACCTGTAATCAGGAGGGAAGGATTTTTTCAGCCGTGGCAAGCTGGCACCTGCAAGCTTCGGGTCTCTTTTGTGCAGGTAGTACCTGCTTTTTCCCATCTCTGACTTTGTGTGTATGTCTTTCTTAAAGCTTCAAGTTGTCTTTGAAAATATATTGGTAACGTTGCAGATTTATCTTCTGGCGTACACAAAGTGTCCTGCCAACGTGCCCCAAAAATGCAAACACTGCCTTGCACTGTTTCCATCTGCGATTCCTTTTTCTTCTGAGCGCACAAGTGGTGTTCTGGAGTAGGCACGGAGTATCCTGTGCCAAGTATTTTGGAGCCATTTTTGAAGCCTGCACGGGGTGCCTTTCCTCCCCGGTTATAATGACACGAAATGTGTAATCACAGACCTGCTTTTTCTGTTACTAATTAGGTGCAGCTTTAGCTGGAATGGGACGAGAAGCCGGGGGGCTCCCAGCTTGCAAGTAGGAGGGAGAAGTTATAGACAGAGTGCGTGTGGAAGCCTCAGTCCAGCGAGCGCTGTTATAATTGTTTCCAGGTGGTTCCATACCATACGTAGGTTTGTCATGTAATCACAGGCTTTGTATGTTCAGGCAGTAACTGCAAAGGTGCCATTTCATCGCTGGCCTTGAGCACGGTCCAGAGCCTTCTGGTTGGGGACTCTCCACCAGCCCGTGCCCAGGACCACGCGCTGCCCTCCACGCCGGCCGGTGCCTCCGGTGTCTCTTGGGGGCCTCGCTTGGGTAGCTGACGGTCGGTTCCCAGGCTGTACCTGCTGGAGATGTATTTAATGCTCCAGCTTTTTCCTTAAGGTGGTCAGGACATGCAGGACTGGCAGCCTTGCAGCTTTAGAGAAGAAAAAATGGCTTTTCCAGGAGTTTTTATTTATTTATTTATTCACTTATTTAGTCTGTCTGCACTCATGAGCCCTGGGGGTGTTAATGCAGGAGATGCTGCTGTGTTGTTTTCTCACGTGATGTGAATTTAGCGTGAGGAGTTGCAGACACGTCGTGAGAGTGGCCGCGAGCACGCGGGACTCTGCAGTCGGTCTGAAATGTCTCGGGCTCTTGCTTTACAACGTGAAATCCTTGAAAACATTCTTTACCCTGACCCATGCAGTCCGATTCTTTAAAAGAAAGTGTGACTGCTGAAGTTTCGAGGAGAGGCCTGGTATTATTCTGGAAGGTGCTTTTCTTGAGCCTGAAGAGCTGCTGTATGTACGTGTGCCGCGTGGCAAAGCCAGCTGCGCCCGGCCGGGGCAGGGGCTGCCCATGGTCTGGAGCGGGGTCATGACGGCTTGTCACCAACCTACGCTAACCAGCAACTCCGCTGCCCCGCGTGTGCCTTGGGATCGGAACAACCCCTAACTCTACTAGCAGGAGAAAAACATCGCACTCATTTTTTCCCCTATTGTTTCCACTGAAGCCGAAGACAAATGTAATCTTTGCTTCAGCAGAGGAGGCTTGGCATCTTCCTGTATGTTTGCAGGTTGATGGCTCACTTATTCTGTTGGCACGCTGCTCCTGGCGGTGACCGTGCGGGGCAGCAGCCTGCTTCAGCCGGCACACGATCCACAGTAAATCGCAGCGTAAGCTGCGCTTGGCTCCGTCAGCATTTGTCTGCTCGCCTGTGCTCTGTGCTCTTTCTAGTAAATCTGCATTTCTGAGCCAACAGGTTTTGCGCTGCCAGGTCTGTCTTTTGTAATTTCAGCTACTTGAAATAATTGCCTCCTCTGGATCCATCAACTGGAGCGACAGGCCGTGAGGGCCCCGAGCACAGGTGACCGGGACGCAGCTGGCACTTGCAGCGCATTCCTTCCCGGGATGCATAAGCTGGACCGCATCGGTCCCCGCTGCTGCTCTGGGCGCAGGGCTGTCGGCAGTCCAGCCCCGGCTGAGCGGGCGCTGGGGCCGGCGAGGGGGAACTGCTGGACCAGGCGCTGCCACGGCTTCTCTTGCACCATGGAGACAGGCGAAGCTTTTCTTGCTCCCTGTGATCAGGTTTGCCAGGGCTTTGTGAGGTGTGTTCCTACCCGATCCCATTGTTCTTGGCTTTTGTAACAGTTTGTTCAAGGAAAGTGAAAAGGGAAAGAAAAAGAGGAGGTGCAGGAAAAAGCAGGAGAAGGGAAATTGGGTGGCACCACAGCGACGTCCAGATCAGTGAATAGAGAAAATTTCATTGTCTGAATCTTGAAATGGACTTTAAGAGGAAGATAGGTGCTTGTTCTGCGTCCTCACACTTTGACAAAGCACGGCACACGTGACAGCATCGGTTGTTAACTACATTTCTCCTTTTGAGATGAGCATTTTCTAGTGGGAAGTACAAAATACCGGCTGCATTTCATGAGTTATGAGAAATATATGTTTCACTGGGAAAACATATCCTTGTTTGTGGTTTTATTTAGATGATTTGAAAAGGTGGATTTCAGAAGCCTAATTGAGCATTCTCTGTCTCTGTGTCCATTTTACACTTCACTTGGTGAGAACAGAGAGATGGGGCTGCTCCGGCTTACGTACAGTTTAGCTCTATTTCATCCTCTCGTCCGCTCAGAAGGTGACGCCGCGTTTGGGTAGCCAGCTCTCCGGGAAAGCTCAGCGGCGAGGTGGAAAGCAGCTTCTCGTGCTTCGTTCCTGAAAGATGCCTCCAATTTCAAAATAAATAAGTTATCTTTTTTTGCCACAAGATCTGGTATGATTCTGCATGAGTCATTTTCTGAGTATTTTACCCACTTGCTGGCTGGAAAAGCGTTATTTCATCAACAGCCCTGCAGCTCTGCTGATGTTGCCCTGTGAATTCTCATTTAGCCGCACTTTGAGAAAAGCCCTCAGACATTGCCTAAGGTATTTTACTTCCTATCCTAAATTTTGAGAGGCTTTGTGTGCTGTTTGAGTATCGCATTGCCCACCAAAAAAGAGTCGCCTTTCAAAAGCGGTTCAACAGTATTTTTGTAACGCTTCGAGTTTGCTACAGGGCTGCGGGAACTGAATCAGTGAACGGGTATTTATTGGTGCAGGTACTCTTCCCATCGTCACCTCGGGAACTGTTCTCTCCCTCCTCCTTGCAGCTGTCTGCAGTTACGGGGTTTGTTTCAACGGTGGAAACTGCGGAGAGGGATCCTCGCAGCTCTGTCATTGCTCCTCTGGTTTCCAAGGACCTCGCTGCCAGTACGGTAAGCAGCCTTTTCACATTCTCCCTTTAATTTTGAGTCGGAAGTGAAGGGGATAAAGAGCAAGGGATGCCCCAATGTTTTTCTATCCTAGCCTTTGTTTTATCTGCAAAACTCCAATAATCTGCTCTCTACTTTTTTTGGCCACTGTTTGTAATGTTTGGGGAGCTTGGATGTTTGGAAAGGAAATGCTTATCATGACTTGCTGTGAAACATAGCTCCGTACTGTACAATAGCCTTTACTCCTGGCTGCCATCAGCAGAGGGATTTGCTGGAATCGGAGAAGGAAGCTGATTAAAGTTGGGTCAAACAAAGAAGCCCTGGGGTCGTGGCCTGCGGAGCAAAGCTCGGCCTGGGGGAGCGTGGCAATGGGCTGCCACATCAGAAGGGAAAATAGCTAAGCTCTGACGAGCTGGATCAGTTATATCTTTGGCTAGGCTTTATTTTGGGGCTGGTAAGCTTTATTTAATTAACCTTCATGCAGTATACAAATTCTCTCTTGAAGGTTATTGAGTTTCCTATGTTTGGTAATTCAGAGATGTTCTGATTTGGGAACATGATAGCCTACAGCAAACAACTGCTAAAAGCTGGAATGATTCTCCATGCTCGTATGCAGTAAGAGAAAACGTGCCTCGTGCTGTTGTAGAGAGAAACGGCTGCCCTTTCTTCCCTCCAGCTGCTAAGTCGGCAAGGTACAGGGCAGTAACAATTACTCAAATTCTGGGTTTATAACAGCAAATTAAATAATAAGACTTTTTTTTTTTTTTACCCATCCATTAGTATATATCTCTTCCTTCAGGCATGTGGTTCCCTGCTCTTTCAGAAATGGAGGTAAGTTTACAGATGCAGAGGACCTGCCATCGGAATAGTCCTTGGCAGGAGCTGGTCTTTTCCCAGTGAGAAGGGCTGGAGAGGAGCTGGTTCTGCAAAGCCTGAAACCCTCTGGCCCCGGTAATCAGAACAGAGGGCAGAAAGGCGACCGCGCGAGTTCGTCCGTTCAGGGCCAGTGTGTGTCGTAGCACCATGCTTTAAGAGGGCGGATGGGAGGTCTTGCCGCTTCAGCGAGCGAGGAGGCACGCAGCCACCGGCCGCTGCTGAGCCTGCCTGCTCCTGCGTGTTTTTCACGGTGCATCTGCTTCCAGGAACTTCAATTGTTGTTACAAGTGTCAATTTAGAAGTGCTTAAAAGGCCCTTAAGTCGCGTTTAGATAATACCTTTAAAGAAAAAGAGGATTCTCTCAGTCAGATACAAACTGTAGATCGGCCAAACCCTCCTTGATGCTGCTGACTTTAGGCTCTATTCATTCCTTGCTCGCTCTTTAATATGCATTGTCAGCTGGAGCTGGAGCTGTGTTTATTACGGTCGGAGGCTTTCTTGGACATGACTGGGACAGTGGTTTGCGTGTGGCGGTTATGAGTCCCCTGCCCCGTGTCCCAGTGGTGGTACAAGTTCTCAATTAGGCAATGAAGCAATTTCCTTGGTAATAAGAAGAAAAAAGAATTGCCCCGAGCCCAGATGTGCAGATCACGAGCCTGGCTGCTGCTCTTGCTGCAGGGCATCCAGACCAGAGCTACTTCCAGAAACGCAGGCTCCATTTGGCAACAACCGGCCCCTCGGCCAGCCCGGTGTGATTTCAGCGGAGCCGGGGCGCTGGCAAGCACAAGGGTGGCACGGACCCATCGGACACGAGGCACGACCCCCTCCTGGAGCACCTCCGAGATGCTTCTGTCAGGGCTGCAGGTCTGCATCTCCGCTCCAGCCTCCTGTCACCCGCAGGCTTTCACCTCTGGTCGCAGCGAGGCGTGACAGCCCTTCCGTGCTGGCTGTCCTTCTCTCCACAGCACTTGCAAAGGTGTCATCCGGAGCTAACGCCACGTCCTAGAAATACAGGGTGCTCTGTCCCGCGTTAGCGTGTTAGAAATGGTCTGGTGTTGGGGGACAGCACAACCTTCTGCTTGCCTTAAGCAAGGCGAGCAGCTTCCAGCCCGCTGCGGGGGACTGCCGTGCCCCGCAGAGGGGCAGGAGGGTGGGAGCTCCCCCGGGCTGAGCTTTGTGCTGCTGCGCTGGGGTCCAGCACCCCGAGCCTCGCCTGGCCCCGGCGGGCGGCCTGGGGCTGGCACCGCTCCTGCCTCCCCGCTGCTGCCACAAAACCAGAGCAAAGCCCGGGAATCGCAGCAATCCGGCTTTAAACCGCTGGTCACTCCAAGCTCTGTGGCTTAACGCTAACGGTTTACGTTCTATATTTTAAGTAAGGTGAGGAGGATGCTGCTTCGTATAAAAACAATCTGCAGTTTGTTTTGCTTTTTTGCTTTATGTTTCTAAAACGGTCACACTGCAGACACAATAATAACCCGAGTCCACATTGTGTATCCCCCCAGTGACACTCTCCTAACTGCAGTCTAAACACATTACTTAAAATACTGCTTCCCTCTCATCCTTCGACCCCCGAAGGATTAGAGCAGGGCTGATTCTCGGAGATGTACACATTCTGCACTGCTGCTTCCGTCTGCGTTGGCACATGTTGCACGGTTTTCTAGGAAATAAACAGGCCTTAAATTGTCCCTGCAATTTTTTTGTCATAGCTTCTCTCATGCAAATTAATAAAATATACATCAGGCGTTTTCCTGTACAGAACCCGAGAGGCAAACAATGCTTTCCCATGTGGAAATGTTTAGCAATTCCAACAATTGTAATTGGTTGCAGCTTTGCAAATAAAGCACACATTTCTGAGACCCCCAAATATTTTTTAAAAGGGAAATGACTGGCTTATTTTGGAGGGGAAGAAAATACATCTGTAGTCGCACTGACGTTACCCCCCTTGGATGAAGGACCCAAAGTGGTGCTTTGGGTCTTAAAAGGTCGGCCTGTGGACGGCTGAAGATTAGCTTTTATTTTGCTGTGCTGCAAAGCCTTTTGCAGTGGGGCAGCAAAGGAGAACAGCGGCTCGTGCCACCGGCGCGCTGGGTGCCTGATGGCCTCGGGCGGTGGTCTGCTGCCTTCGGCCCTTGGCAGCCCGCTGGGGAGAGCGGGAGAGAGGCAGGGGCCGACGGGGCTGGGCTGGGACGCTGCGCCTGCTGCTGCGGGTCACCGCTCGCCTCCGCCCGCATCGACGGGTCCCCGGAGCAAGAAGCCTTTCCCCTTTTCCAGGGACAAGGATGCTCTGATCAGATGAGAGATGGTTTCAGAGAAATTGGAAAATTAGAGTTCTTGGTTAAAAATGAGGTGTGGGTGCACCTCCAATAGTTGCAGTTGGGGCAATCATGTGCAGTATGACAATGGTTGAGCCTTTTAAAAGTGATACGTTGAGTTAAAAAAAATTTTTTTCAAGGTTTTTCTGCCAATTAACAAAGCATGCTGTGGTTATGTCACAGTTGTCACTTGTATTTCTGAGCAATTTTGATTTTATTTTAATTCTTTTAAATTCCAAGTGAGTTGGCTGTTGAACTGTTCTCTCAGGACATTTGACCTGTGTGGTGATGTTTCGAGATGTGCCTCTCTTTGGAACCTGGAAGCAAAGAAGCGAACTGTAAAACTGGGTTAAAAAAAAAATAACAAAGAGCTTTTGAAACTTACTGAATTTCTGAACGTTATTTTGAACCTTTAAAATGTCTTTACTCAAAATATGTTTTTAGTGGCAGCTCAGAGAAGCTCCTTATCTGATTCGCTCATCTCTAATATGCCTGTCAAATTTTAAATGAATGTCTGAAATCCTGAATACCTGTGGTCAGATCCTTACCCTCCGTCTTTTGGCAGAGCTTCACTCAAGGCGGGGCGGACGGGCTGCATTACAGCAGACGGGGGGCGGCCAAGGCTGCGCACATTGTGGCTCTGCTACCTGAAGCTAAAGGAAACCAGGCCAAACTCTTTATTTTGGAATGAGCTAATTACAAGCAACAGGGTTGAGTGAATAGAGTGGGCAAATCATTCTTCCTGCTGCCTAACCTCAGTTTATAAAGTGTTAATTGTTCTATTGCCTTTTCAAAGAGCAAAGCCCAGCTGACCTGGGAGCATTCCTTTGCATTTGCAACCTCAAATTATTTTAATTCCCGGGTGATTTATGTTTTGTGCTCATACCAAAAGTCACCCCCTGACATCCCCTTCCGCCGGGACAACGCTTCGCTGGCTCTGAGGCCTGTTGTTTATAAACATTGCAAAGGCACCGTTGTCCTGCTTCCTTCGGCAAATCCGCCCAGACAGGACTATCTGGCCGCTTCAAGGGCTGGAAGGAAGGAGATGGACCTCTGAAGGCCCAGCCCCAAGCAGGATGGGCCGCCTGGCTCAGGACTGCCACTGTTTCCCTGGTCTCCTGGCAAAGTGGCGGAAGATGTAACGTGATCGGCACCAGCTCCTGGCCTAGTGAATTTTTTGGACAGGGCATGCGATGGCCATGAGAGATGCCAGCACGCTGACAAGAAAAGTGGTTTATCTTCTTGGGGCACTGCTCCGTAAGCCTCGGCCGCTCCTGAAGACAAACCCCAAACCTGCTGAGGTAGACTCTGCAAATGATGGAGCATTTCCATTACCTGCAGATGAAGGAAACCTATAGATACAAGAGATTGGGGGCAGTGTTCATTTTGCAAGATAAGCTACTCTGCAAGCATCTTCAGAAAGCTTTCCTAGCTTTCAAGTTTCATTTTGACCTTTGTTTCCATCCTGCTTTTAAACAGATGTTGCTCCTGAAAAACTCAAAAAGACCAATGAAATGCTGGATTAGCCCCAGCTTGCAGAGAATTGACTCCTTTTGTCTCTCTCTTGATGCTTTTCATTATTCATGGCATTTTCCAAAAGCTAAGGTCCTTGCCACAGAGAATGTGCTGATTGAGAATATGGGGAGATCCCAGCCACAAACTCATCCTTCCCTTCATCTTAATTTCTTATTGACTACTGTAAATTATTTTTTTGGTAAATACTTTTTTTGGACAAATTTCTGTGGAAACCTGATTGTCTGGATTCTCGTCTTCTCTTTCACTGTTAAAAGTACTCTGGTGGTTAACTTCTGTGCC